TTTTTGTGTAGGTACCTAATTCAATAAAAGAGTAAAATATTGGCAAATTGTAAACATGAAAGAAGATATTTATTAGTTTAGATTGATATATATATATATATATATATATATATATATATATATATTGTCATCCACAGACAGACTGTTTCGCTGTATCACAGCTCATCAGTGTGGCTAGATATCCAATTGCGTCAAGCCGGGATCGAAACCCAACTGATTCGGAAACAGTCGGATTTTATCCCGAAGCTATCGGCGCCCGGTAGAAAGGAAGGTGAATTTTTGCGTATTTATTCTTTTGTATGCACACGCCAGTGGCCGAGTTGGCTCAATTCGTAGAAGAGCTTGGCATTATCAGCAGTAGTAGTCACTGTTTCGAAACTCACGCTTTCTCCAGTGTGCTCGACCTAAATTAATTTTTCGGGGTCGTATATATTATCATCTACAAATTGCTTCACTGTATCACAGCTCATCAGTGTGGCTAGACATCCGATTGCCTCAAGCCTGGACCGAAACCCGAACAGTCAGTGATTTTACTCGCAAGTTTTATATATATATATATATATATATATATATATATATATATATACGCGCGCCACACACACACACACACACACACACACACACACACACACACACACACACACACACACACACACACACACACACAAGACGAAACTGAGCAGAGATGTATATTTCGAGAATCAGGAAAGATCTGTGTCCAAAAGCACTGTTCGAGTTCTCTGCAGCTGATTGGTTAAAGCACGTCAGATATAATAACGGTTACCCTAGGGGAACGCAGGTTCGATTCCTGCAGGAGACGAAGTTGGAAGATTTAGTCACTCGTACTATCACTTAAATAAATTGATAAAATGTCGGATTAAAAAATAAATCCATTAAATCTTTCTAATAAGATTTCTCGAATATTCAGGCCGGTAGATGGAAATAAATAAATATACTGTTTGAAGGAGAGTGAAAAAAGAGAAGATTAATCGAGTGCAAACGTAAGATGACTTAGCGACTGAAAAGTGTCTTTGGACAAATCTTTCCTATCGAATCGTAAAATGAAAATAATCTTCCAGACACTCTTTCTTTCGTATTAATGCAGGTGTTCCCCAGGGGCACCATCCTTGGTCCTACTTTGTTTTTGATTTTCATTAATGACCTTCCCGATGGCATCAGCTTTCAACTTTAATCTGCAAAAATTTAAATGCAATGTCGATCTCTATATACCATCCTGATTACTCTTCCTTTGTTCTCGCTCCTTAGCAATATTCCTGTTTCTGACTCTTCCACGGACATTAACCCTTACGTCTCGGTGGCTTTATCAACTTGCTCGGGGTGAACTCGTTTAAAAGAAAAACAGTTGAAAAAGTCCAGGCTTGACAAGCAGCTGTTACCGAAAACATAGACACAAAGTTCAGAGAATTGTCTTGAAAAGCTTTTGATAATAGGAAATTCATGAAGATCATGAACGAAACCAAGTTGGAAGATTTAGTCACTCGTACTATCACTTAAATAAATTGATAAAACGTCGGATTAAAAAATAAATCCATTGAGAAATTACTATCCCTTAATTATAATTATAATTTTTTCACTAAAATCATGGCTAAAACTTCTGCTGAAATAAAGATTAAGGTTGTAACTTTGAAGGGGAAGATGACTCAACGAGAGATAGGCAAACGGTTGTGAATTTCTAGAAACAGTATTCAAACCACTCAAAAGACATTTGCTACTACTGGAAGTGTTTTAAGTGTCAAAGAAAACCAGAATACCACAAAAGTTGTGTAAAAGAAATGAAAGAATGATTCTGAGAATCTCTGAAAGGCAATCCAAAATTAACAGCCAGACAAGTGAGGATTGAATACAGTCCTAACAGTAGGGTTTCAGTTGATACAATATGTGGAATATAAAGTATAAAAAATCTTGAACAGGCCTATAACAGCAAAAAACATTATTAAACAAAACACATCGGAATAGAAGATTGTAGCGGTCTAAAGAACATATAACATAGGATGCTGTGATGGAAAATGACAAAAAGTAATTATTAATGATGAATATAAAATAAAGGAAATACAAGGAAATGCATAAGAAGACCAACAGGAGAAAGAAATATTGGAAGATGTTCCACAAAGACAGCAAAATTTGGTGGTAGACACGTAATGGTGGTGACGGTGGGAGTGCAAGAAAGGTTATGGTAGAAAAAAATTGGTAAAAGTTGATGGAAGCCTAAACAGCGGAAAACATTGTAACGGGAGAGTGCTATGGAGACAGATTTATTCTCCTATTTTCATTTCCCCCATTATGGGCATTATTATATCCGTTATATAATAACACCGTAGTTCACGGACCGAACAGAATGGCTGAAAGGAAAAAGAATGACAAACATATTTTGTTCTCAGAGCGACATTTATACTACTAAGACATGCACAAAACAACATGTGACTTAACTTCACTAAAGGGAGATAATCGCCTTCTGTATCTCTACACTATATTAGCTTACTGCTGTCTAATCTTTTGCCAAACTACGACGATGGAGAAATCTTTCAGCATGAGGTTGCTTCTTGCTACACATCAAGTGCAACAAAAAGATTTCTTGTGGATGAAGACTGCCCAGTACGAGGTCTTGCTCTCAATATAATTGAAACATTGCGATGACAACTGAAGAAACAAGTGTTTCAACGAAAACCATACAATCTCCAAGGGCTTTGGAATTACAGCCAAGAATAATGAGAAAAATTCCCAGAGAAAATCTGAGGCTTTTACTATTCAATGCCATAATGGATTGAGGTAATTATTCGAGCCAAAGGCACAATACTAATTGCTAACTCCATGTTTTGATATTTCGTATTTTCTTCTATCATAAAGTTCACTAAGAGCTGAAAAGTGTAATTTTTGCTGATATCCCAGTATTTTTACATGGCTTTTATTTAACATCGCCTAAGGTGCTCTATCATTCAACAAACAGCATTAATGAAAATGCAGTAACTTTTGTCTGACCCTCAAAGACTATAAAATGTACTGAAAAAGCATACTGTTATTAACTATATATATATATATATATATATATATATATATATATATATATATATAGAGAGAGAGAGAGAGAGAGAGAGAGAGAGAGAGAGAGAGAGAGGGTGAGAGACTGGATTCACATTGCGTTTAATGTTTTGAAGATCAAAGTTGAGTGAAAAGGAAGAATCCGGAAGAGAGTTTCACAAGCGAGAAGCGCAAAAGAAAACTCTAAAATAGAACTTATGATTATATCTAGCCATTTCAACTGTAAAATGATGAGACCTCGCCGCCAATCTAGTACTGCGCTTAAATTCATAAAGTCTAGATTCCACAGAGGACAATTCATCAGAACAGTTACCATGAAAATATTTATATAAAAGGCAAAAGGAAGCTAAGTTACGGCAGTGGGAAAGTGACTGAAGCCGAAATGCCTGGCCAGGACTTATAACATTACATATTCTTCTCTGTATTTTATCAAGAATCTCTAATTACATAGCAGAAGCAACAGACCTGATGATTTGTTTTGTTTTATTTGCTTTGTTCATTATTTCAGTTTGAATTTTATTTGTGATTCACGATCCATTTTCATCAAATATTACATTGATCCTTTTTGTTAAAAATTTCAACAATTTGAAGTTTCTTTTATTGACTACTTCTACGCTCTAACTATTGAACTTGGATCATTCACACCAGGCATTTCAGATCCTGCCATTGATTCCAATTGTGAAAAGAAAAATACATTGAAATAATTATATCAACAGCCGTCTCCGTCTCACAGTGACGTTTTTTTTTCTTTTTCCAAGTTCGTTGTCTGACATAAACTCTAAAATAGAATAAATCACTAAATAAATTTCGCCTGACTGTCTCAGGTAGTAATTGTTTGTCTTGAGTGTTGATGTCCAAGGTCTGAGTTAACAGCCTTGAAATAAGAAGGGACAATGCTGTTGAGTTTTCGTAATCGATGATAATTGTTACCGTATTTGTGGCGAGGGTAAATTTAATTGGCGAACGGTCGCCCTGACCTTCTCTATAATAACTGTCATACACAGCTTCGAAGGCGCTGCTTAACCTGATGATCTTTGACCTATGAAAGTGGATACAGCCATATAATTTGGCTTTTCATTGTCAGAGTGGTTTGGTGTGTAATTTATAAATGGCATCTTCCTGTGGTGGCTTCGGGAGAAAAAAAGTAGGACTTTCTTTCTCTCCCTCTCTCTCCTCTCTCTCTATCCCTCACTGTTTTACGCTGACTGTATGTTTGTACATTTAAATGAGTGTGTGGTAGAGTCCGCTGGATAAAAAATCTGTGTTAGAAACGGATCAAATCTATAATAATAATAATAAATAATAATAATAATAATAATAAATAATAATAATAATAATAAGCATATTTATATTTATTCTTATTGATTCCATAATGTGGAAAGAGGGCTTGAAAAATTTGATACTCACAGGACATATTGAAGGCAAAAAGGACAGAAGAAAACAACGCATAATCTCCTTAGCGAGCTTGAGTAAATGGATTACAGAACAAGGTTTAGGATAAATAACTAAAAGACAAAATGTATTAAGAGCTACAAAGGACAGGACATTTTGGAGAGCCAAGATCGCCAACGTCCTGAAGAGACACGGCAAGAAGAAGAAGGAGGAGGAGAAGGAGGAGGAGGAGAAGAAGAAGAAGAAGAAGAAGAAGAAGAAGAAGAAGAAGAAGAAGACCCTTCGTTATTTTTATCCCTTTTTATAGCAACATTTTTAGTCAGCCTCTTCTGCAATCGACTCTCAGGTTTGTGTATATGATTTTTGTGTACTTTCTGTAAAATGGGAAACAGTTGAAAAACTTTATTTGCTGTAAACTTTTGCACACACCTAATATATATATATCATTCGGCTAAAGAACAAATTAGTTAAAACGTGGTGAAAGCAAATAACAAGAATAAGGAAAAATAGTCAAAAATAAAAATAAATGGAATAATTAAAATCTTAAACATTTATAATAAAGAATAACAGTAAAGCAAATAGGAACGGTGCACGAAAATAGAAAGAAAATTTGAAAGAAAGTTTTGGGTAAACAGAGAGAGAGAGAGAGAGAGAGAGAGAGAGAGAGAGAGAGAGAGAGAGAGAGGTGGGCAGAAAAAAGATAATGATAATAAAAGTGTGTGAGTGGAGAAGGAAGAAGAAGAGGAAAATAGAAAGTAAAATGGAGGGAGCAGATAGTGGGAAAGAAATGGAAAACAAAAACAAAATATACTATCGGAAAATAAGATAGCAATACCCGAATGTGTGTTTCAATTTCATCAATATTAAACGCACGACCATTATAACCTAGTATATAATCTTTATATAGTAAATGATCAAATATAAAAATTAATACGTGCACAGGTCACAAAATAGCCCAGTAACCTATTAATACATTCGGTACATATCTTACATGGGTGGTGCTTCGATGCTATCAACAGGGTTCAAATGAACGTTCATATATCCATATACAGCCTGATGAGGATGGACTCTATCAAACTGGCTTACCCTAGACACACCACTGCTGCTATAGCTGCAGTACATGTGATACTCCTATGACTCTAATGGGTTATGGAACTCGTGATGTGACGTGATACTCATATATACATTACCAGAAAATTAAAATGAAATGCCCCGAATAGTTATGCAAAAGTCAATGACCGATAGTGGTGGTGGATGCATCATTTTATGGGATTGTTTTTTGCTCAGCGAGTTCCGAAAAATTCACCAGAATTGAGGGGAAAATGGATTCGTTCAAGTATTCGTCAATTCTTACGAAACAATCTTTTACCGCCACCCAAAGAAAATTATGAAAAATAAAACATATTTTTTAAAATCCACATTACAACCAAAAATATTTGCGGCGTCTCTCTTCTTTTTTATATACACAGTTTTCTCTCGTTGGAACTACTATAACCTCTCTCTCTCTCTCTCTCTCTATATATCTATATATATATATATATATATATATATATATATATCAGCACTCAGAAAATTAAATTGCATTACCTCGAATGTGTGTTTCAATTTACTCAATATTAAACATACAAGTAATATAAGCTAGTAAATGTTCGCATATGCACATCAATCCGTGCACAGCTTCCAAAATATGGGATGTATTAACAGTAATCATACCCGATATTAATAAACCCTTTGGCTGTTAATATAACTCTGTAGTTTCCAATCCTGCGATACATTATTTCATATCTCTTGCACGTGTTGATGCTATATAGCAAGAGTTGTTAGTAGGCTTACTGAAGGAATAATCCCATCATGTATCACACACGTTCAATGAAAGACAGGTGTTGCTATCACGCTGGTTAGGGAAGCTGAATATATTGCAAAGTATGTTGAAGAGAACGGAAATGATGTAGGCGGTTATTATCATTTTTATAATCATTTCACTCAAGCAAGGCAATAAAGCCACTAAGACGCAAAGAGTTAGTGAGTTTGAGGGAATACGAGAAAAAGAAAACATTATTAAAGAAGAGAGGAAATAAAAGAACAGGAATTAAGAAAACAGAAGACAATAATTGACATTCCATATAAGTTTCTGAAGAACAAAGTTGACTGCAAAGCAAGAAGCTAGAAGAGAGTTCCACAAGAGGAAGTGAGAGAGAATAAACTGTAAGATGGTGAGACCTTAAATTTGTAAAGTCTAGGTACCAGAGGAAATCTCATCAGAACAATTATCATGAAAGTATTTATAGAGAAGACACAAGGAAGCTACGTTACGGCGATGGGGAAGTAACAGAAGACGAGATGCCAATTCAAGACAAAATATAGTGCATATTTTTCTTTGCATTTTATCAATAATTACTAAATACACCGCAGAAACACCAGACCATGTGGGACTGCAATATTCAATGCATGGAGATATAGGTTTATAAACGTGTAAGATTCATTCCTGACGAGACAAATTGTCTAGTACGTCAAAGTGAACTAACTTTCCTAGCAGCAGACCTAGCTCTTGATTCGATAAAATCTTTTCACTTCATGTCAGCGGAAAACGTTCGCCCGAGAAGGTTATCATTCAGAAACAGCACTTTGTTTTTCTGTTGCAGAAACAGCAGCAGAACAGATTGAACAATATTCTGGGCGTATATAGCGCTGTTTAATATTCCATCCACGAACATCAAAGGTGAACGAGAATTGTAACTTATGGTACCTCCCACCATGATACTATGAGTTGCCGTTATGTGTTTCAAGCAAATTGTGGAAGATGGCGTTTCACAGCCAAACAACCATTAATTGCATGAAGACGCAACCTACTGTCATTACTGAATACTACAGAGCACCATTCGATTCCCCAGGCGACTTTGTCGCAACAGAAATAGTAACGTACATGTTGATATTGTAGTGTAAGCGAAAAAGCTTCTTCTTTTTCTTCTTCTTCTTCTTCTTCTTCTTCTTCTTCTTCTTCTTTGTATCATGTCCCTTCAGGACGTGGGCAATCCTATCCTTTGTAGTCCTTAATAAATTTTGTCTTTTTGTTATCTCTCCTAAAGCCTTTTCTGCTATCCATTTACACATACTCATTCTTCTTCTATGTGCCGTAGCTCTTCAGGACGTTGGCGATCACGGCCCTCCACAATTTCCTGTCCTTTGTAGCTCTTAATAAATTTTGACTTTTTATTACCTCTCCTCCTACTCCCTTCTCTGCCAACCATTTACACAACAATATCGTTAGGTAGGTCATATGCCAATTTCCTCCGCCCCTCTTTCCTTTCAATATATCCTGTGAATGATTATTTCTTCAAGCTCCCTTTCCTCATTATGTAATTTCGATTGTCTCTTTGATGTTATGTATGTCTGTATTTTTTTCATGTTCTTTAAAACTTCGTCGTTGTTCACATGTTCAGTCCATGATATTATCAATTACCTTCTGTAGAATTATATTTCTCTGGTTTCAAGTGTCTTCTTCATTTGTGGGGATATCATCCAGCATTCAGGAGGACCGATATTACATAACAGTCCAATACTCTTAATTTCTAAGGAAACTTTCCTATTTCTTAATACTGTGCTGAGCTTTTGGAATGCATCTTTCTTCATCCCAATACCCATTCATATTTCAGTCACATTTTCGGTCATCTATTAAAACATTGACTAGATATTTAAATTTTTATACTTGTTTGATTTCGGTATCTTCAATTTGTAATTCGAATGTTAGGCTCTTCTTTTCGATAACAAACTTATATTCTGTTTTCTTACAAGTGATAGTTATTCTTTTCTTCTCGCCTTCCTTTATTGCCTTTTTTAGGGGTTCTTGAAGTTTCCTTTTTAAGACTGTAGCAACCAGTAATGAAGCTGGTGCGATATCTAATTCTCTCAGAATCGCCTCACTGTAAAGGTGTAAGTCTGGTGGGAAGACGCATTCTTGTCTTGCAGCCATTTTTATTTTTGTGTATTTACTGAATTCATTTTCTACCCGTATGCAGGCGGTTTGTTCCCAGTAAGCACGTGTATCTTTAATTCTATTGCAAGTAAATGATTCGTAACGGTGACTTTTGATATTCCTTGTACCACATTTGTTCCGGATGTCTTGCTGTCCGCAGTTACTGCCTTAAGATACGTCGATTTAGTGGCTATCCAAAAACTGGCCAGCCTGTGTAAGAATAACTACTTGCCTAATGTTAACAACATTAATGAACTATCATCGAACCTCGTTCAATATACACAGCATTTTCTTTTCGAAATTGTCACCAAGCCCAGGAAGGCGTATAATCCGACATTTCTTAAACATCTCGAATTGAACAAAAGAAACGTGTAGATGTCTTGCATCGATTCTTATCTCTGCATGCGTCACTGTATAAAAAAAATCAAACACAGACGGTGCACTGATATTAATGTTACTACATCAAAAATGTCCGAAAACTTTGAAAGTTTTATTAGAATATCTAAAACAAAACGTCGGGTATTATATTATGAGGGGAAAATACAGATGAAATATTCGTGAAAGGAAGAGTTAAGAACGAAAGAGGAAAGAAGAAAACGAGTTGGTGAAAGCAAAGGGGTAAATGTAAGCCAATAAAAGATAATTGATAGAGAAGTTGATGGAGAGAAAATAGAAGTATATACAGGAACTTAACAGAAGTAAATAGACTCTCGCGTTGGATTCAGATTTGACCTTCAATAAAGATATATTCACTGGCAATTAAGTAATTTAACAATAAAAATAAAAATAAATAAAAATAAAAACAAGAGAAATAATTTACAGTGATATAAGTAAACAAATACATTATTCGACTCGGAAGTGACCTTTCATAATGATATACTCATTGTAAATTATCTCATTTACAATAAAAACACAAGGGAACTAATTTATAAGGATATAACATAAATAGAGCTTATTATTTGACTCAGATTTGAACTTTGATCAAGATATAATCATCTGCAATTAATTTATTATAAGAAATAATACTGTACATAGATATTTTATATGAATAGATAGACTCTATTAGAGTCAGATTTGTTCTTCAAGATGTAGTCATTGACAATTAATTTACTGCTATAAAAATACAAGAGAATCACACAGCAGAGACAATGATCAATAAAAAAACATTATTTAATTTAGTTAATATGAGGCGTAGACAAAGGTTTCTAGCATAACCTAGAGATTGAATACATACTTAGAAACCAGTTTTTATTGGAAATTTTAAGTGGTTCTTGTGTGATGAAAAGGAAAACTGAAAAAACAAAAATCTCAATTACAGTTTTACAGAAGTAGCAGAGTGAGTTCAGATTAATCCGGGAAAGCAGTATGTTATATGGATTATCAGGGCTGGTGCGTACTACCTTCAACCTTCCGACCCCCGACCTCGACCGGGGTGAAGCCTGACTGGGGGACTCGCGTATCTTATCAGCATTTTTTCTACGTTACAAATTAAGCTAAGCACAATTGACTATTAAATGATGAAAAATTTTCACGGATTCTGACGTCATTTTTTCTTGTCCAAATCCGTGAATTTGTTTTGCTCATGCTAAGCCTAAAAAAAAACACGATATAAAATTCACTATTTTTTTATCCACAATGATGAATGAACTAAAATTATTCGACTTTCTAACAGGAAATATTTCAAATTGGTGTTAAAAAAAGGTCTATTTAAGATATAATGACCAATTATGACATGTCTCTAATTTGTATTTAGATACATTGTATTTATTTTCAGTTTTTCTGTTTTGAATTGTTCACCTATATTGCATATGATCCATTAGTGTACATAATTAGGTTAGAATGAATTTTGTATTTTATATGAATACTATCTTATGAAAATTGAGATATAGTAGAGTGGCGGCCCTGCATCATAGATTCTGGGGTGGGGTGAGGATTGGGAGGCATGAGACTCTTGCATTGTCCCTGGACGTTATATGGATTATTATGGCAGAAGAGAAGAAAGAAAATTTCAATAATTTCGCAATGCCTCATACACCAATAGGCCAGTAAAGTTGGCCATGCCAAAGATAGAATGATTCAGCATTAAATTGTAACAGAACCAAGCCGCATCATATCATTCACAAATATTGAATGAAAAATATGAATCATTTTCGATTGAACAAAAAAGTTTCATGAGAAGGAACGGAAAATTAAAAAATAAATCCCTGTTGTAAAGTATTGGCATTTTCGTCGAATCTGGGGAAACGTTTTGTTAATATAAAAAAAAATTACAGCACAATAAAATGATGTGTTGCTTTAACTTGTCCAAAATAAAATGTCCTCTTTCCAATAAATAGGCTGCGAATACTTGACACAAATGATTTTTGAACCATGAAGCATCTGTGTAAATATATTGAGGACAGATTGTAGATATATGGCTTGAGAAATAAGAGAACTGTTTTTTTTTTAAATCTACTACGAAGAGGGCGCTTGTATGGGAGTGAGGATTCAGTATCAAATACAAAGAAAATAAGCTCATACGGCTAAAGCTATTTTAAAATCTAATACAATGAAAATCATCTAATATAAGTAATAGAATTGAGTGAAGTTACCTGGAACTCTGCCTAGGATCAGAATGTAGTTTAAATGCACTTCTTGAAAAGTGTTACACACACACACACACACACACACACACACACACATATATATATATATATATATATATATATATATATATATTTTTATTTTGTGCGCATGCGTAGTCGCATCAAAGTAAACATCACTTTAGTTCGATTAATTCCTAAAGGATGTAACGCGTATAGGACATAAAATCCCAACAAATACACACATACACTTTTATTTATTTCATTTCTGGATCTGATGAAGCCTAGAAAAGGTGAAAACGTGTAATCAAATCTAGTTTCAATGAAATGTTTTACCATTTGTCATATATATATATATATATATATATATATATATATATATATAGAGAGAGAGAGAGAGATAGATAGATAGATATAGACAGAGAGAGAGAGAGAGAGAAAGAGAGAGAGAAAGAGAGAGAGAGAGAAAGAAGGAGAGAGAAAATGAGAGAAGGAGTGATAAAGAAACAGAGAATATTATGCAATTTTTTTTCTGCCACTTTAGAATAATTGCTAGATTAAATGTGGATGTTTCTCATCGCATTTTCTACAGATGAAAATTGGCCTAAATAAAGTTATTTCTATACCTAATTATCATATTTTATAGTAAGTAATCTGAATGAGAAAGGAAGATGAAAGAGGAACCCAGAAATAGCCATAAAAATAGCGGTCACCGTACATAAATCAAGGTAGATACAGTGTTTTAATAACAGAAAAATATCTGCAATTAAATATTCTTAAACTTAACAAATTAACAACTTAATGTACATTTCATGTCGCTCACCTTATCTTGAATAACTACTTCAGTGCGCCTGGGAATGGGGAGGGATATGTACAAATTCTTCACTATCTTCTCTGTGAATTGAGTCCCTGTCATGGGTCCTTACCTATAACTACAGAATGAACTCTTCCTAACATTATGTATACTATGCCTCTCACGAGAGAGGGTCGAATCAAGCCGATCTTTTCGACTTGATGGTCGAACCTCTCGCTTTTGAGCAGAGAGGAACCCGACGAGGTCCGCCGAAGGGCAGAATCTCGTTCGGGGTAAATGACCAACCCGATCTCGTTTTTACGAGTTCTATGGGCATTTTTTTGGCTGAGCCTACGGGCTCAGGAACCCACGATTAAAAAAGGACCTTGTGTCGCATGCAACCCTCGGGGGGGGGCTAGATACCGAATCAAGCCGATCTTTTCGACTTGACGGTCGAACTCTGCTTTTGAGCAGAAGAACCCGGACGAGGTTCCGGCTGAAGGGCAGAATCTCGTTCGGGTGAATGACCCACCCTGATCTCGTTTTTACGAGTTATACGGGCATATTTTGGCTGAGCCTACGGGCTCAGGAAACCCACGATAAAAATGACCTTGTGTCGCATGCAACCCTCGTGGGGGTGGCTAGATACTGAATCAAGCCGGATCTTTCGACTTGACGGTCGAACTCTCTGCTTTTGAGCAGAAGGGAACCCGACGAGGTTCCGCCGAAGGGCAGAATCTGTTCGGGGTGAATGACCTACCCTGATCTCTTTTTACGAGTTATACGCGCATTTTTTTGGCTGAGCCTACGGCTCAGGAAACCCACGATAAAAAATGACCTTGTGTCGCATGCAACCTCGTGGGGGTGGCTAGATACCGAATCAAGCTGGATCTTTTTCGACTTGATTTGGTCGAACTCTGCTTTTGAGCAGAAAGGAATCCGGACGAGGTTCCGCCGAAGGGCAGAATCGTTCGGGGTGAATGACCCACCCTGATCTCGTTTTTACGAGTTATACGGATATTTTTTGGCTGGAGCCTACGGGCTCAGGAAACCCACGATAAAATGACCTTGTGTCGCATGCAACCCCGTGGGGGTGGTTTGATACTGAATCAAGCCGATCTTTTTCGACTTGACGGTCGAACTCTGCTTTTGAGCAGAAAAGAACCCGGACGAGGTTCCGCCGAAGGGCAGAATCCGTTCGGGGTGAATGACCCACCCTGATCTCGTTTTTTACGAGTTATACGGAGATATTTTTGGCTGAGCCCATGGCCCAGGAAACCACGATAAAAATGACCTTGTGTCGCATGCAACCTCGTGGGGTAAGTGGTTAGATACTGAATCAAGCCGGATCTTTCTGACTTGACGGTCGAACTCTGCTTTTGAGAGAAAAGGAACCTGACGAGGTTCCGCCGAAGGGCAGAATCTCGTTCGGGTGAATGACCTACCCGATCTCGTGCTTTACGAGTCATACGGGCATATTTTTGGCTGAGCCTACGGGCCCAGGAAACCCACGCCGATAAAAAATGACCTTGCAGGTCGCATGCAACCCTCGTGGGGGTGGCTAGGATACTGAACAAGCTGATCTTTTCGACTGATTTATCGTCTCCCCTGCTTTTCAGCAGAAAGAACAAAGTTGACTGCAAAGCAAGAAGCTAGAAGAGTTCCACAAGAGGAAGTGAGAAGAATAAACTGTAAGATGGTGAGACCTTAAATTTGTAAAAGTCTAGGTACCAGAAAATCTCATCAGAACAATTATCGGAAAGTATTTATAGAAGACACAAGGAAGCTACGTTACGGCGATGGGGAAGTAACAAAACGAGATGCCAATTCAAGATAAATATAGTGCATATTTTTTCTTTGCATTTTATCAATAATTACTAAATACACCGCAGAAACACCAGACCATGGGACTGCAATATTCAATGCATGGAATATGGGCTTATAAACGTGTAAGATTCATTCCTGACAGACAAATTGTCCCTAGTACGTCAAGTGAACTAACTTTCCTAGCAGCAGACCTAGCTCTTGATTCGATAAAATCTTTTCACTTCATGTCAGCGGAAAACGTTCGCCCGAAGGTTATCATTCAGAAACAGCACTTTGTTTTCTGTTGCAGAAACAGCAGCAACAGATTGAACAATATTCTGGGCGTATATAAGCTGTTTAATATTCCATCCACGAACATCAAAAGGTGAACGAAATTGTAACTTATGGTACCTCCCACCATGATACTATGAGTTGCCGTTATGTGTTTCAAGCAAATTGTGGAAGATGGCGTTCACAGCAAACAACCATTAATTGCGTGAAGACGCAACCTACTGTCATTACTGAATACTACAGAGCACCATTCGATTCCCCAGGCGACTTTGTCGCAACAGAAATAGTAACGTACATGTTGATATTGTAGTGTAAGCGAAAAGCTTCTTCTTTTTCTTCTTCTTCTTCTTCTTCTTCTTCTTTGTATCATGTCCCTTCAGGACATGGGCAATCCCCTATCCTTTTAAGTCCTTAATAAATTTTGTCTTTTGTTTATCTCTCCTAAAAGCCTTTTCTGCTATCCATTTACACATACTCATTCTTCTTCTATGTGCCGTAGCTCTTCAGGACGTTGGCGATCACGGCCCTCCACAATTTCCTGTCCTTTGTAGCTCTTAATAAATTTTTGACTTTTTATTACCTCTCCTCCTCTCCTTCTCTGCCAACCATTTTACACAACAATATCGTTAGGTAGGTCATATGCAATTTCCTCCGCCCTCTTTCCTTTCAATATATCCTGTGAATGATTATTTCTTCAAGCTCCCTTTCCCTCATTATGTAATTTCCGATTGTCTCTTTGATGTTATGTATGTCTGTATTTTTTTCATGTTCTTTAAAACTTCGTCGTTGTTCACATGTTCAGTCCATGATATTATCAATTACCTTCTGTAGAATTATATTTCTCTGGTTTCAAGTGTCTTCTTCATTTGTGGGGATATCATCCAGCATTCAGGAGGACCGATATTACATAACAGTCAATACTCTTAATTTCTAAAAAAACTTTCCTATTTCTTAATACTGTGCTGAGCTTTTGGAGATCATCTTTCTTCATCCCAATACCCATTCATATTTCAGTCCACATTTTCGGTCATCTATTAAAACATTGACTAGATATTTAAATTTTTTATACTTGTTTGATTTCGGTATCTTCAATTTGTAATTCAGATATTGGGCTCTTCTTTTCGATAACAAACTTATATTCTGTTTTTCTTAGAGTGATAGTTGTTCTTTTCTTCTCGCCTTCCTTTATTGCCTTTTTGGGGGTTCTTGAGACTTCCTTTTTAAGACTGTAGCAACCAGTAATGAAGCTGGTGCGATATCTAATTCTCTCAGAATCGCCTCCTGTAAGGTGTAAGTCTGGTGGGAAGACGCATTCTTGTCTTGCAGCCATTTTTTATTTTTAATGTTACTGAATTCATTTTCTACCGTATGCAGGCGGTTTTGTTCCCAGTAAGCACGTGTATCTTTAATTCTATTGCAAGTAAATGATTCGTAACGGTGACTTTGATATTCCTTGTACCACATTTTGTTCCCGGATGTCTTGCTGTCACCAATTACTGCTTAAGATACGTCGATTTAGTGGCTATCAAAACTGGCCAGCCTGTGTAAAAATTAACTTGCCTAATGTTAACAACATTAATGAACTATCATCGAACCTCGTTCAATATACACAGCATTTTCTTTTCAAAATTGTCCCCACAAGCCCAGGAAGGCGTATAATCCGACATTCTTAAACATCTCAATTGAACAAAAAAACCTTATGTAGATGTCTTGCATCGATTCTTATCTCTGCATGCGTCACTGTATAAAAAAATCAAACACAGACGGTGCACTGATATTAATGTTTTACATCAAAATGTCCAAAAACTTTGAAAGTTTTATTAGAATATCTAAAACAAAACGTCAGGTATTATATTATGAGGAAAATACAGATGGAAATATTCGTGAAAGGAAGGTTAAGAACGAAAGGAAGAAGAAAACGAGTTGGTGAAAGCAAAGGGGTAAATGTAAGCCAATAAAAAGATAATTGATAGAGAAGTTGATGGAGAGAAAATAGAAATATATACAGGAACTTAACAGAAGTAAATGAACTCTCGCGTTGGATTCAGATTTGACCTTCAATAAGATATATATTCACTGGCAATTAAGTAATTTAACAATAAAAATAAAAATAAATAAAAATAAAAACAAGAGAAATAATTTACAGTGATATAAGTAAACAAATACATTATTCGACTCAGAAGTGACCTTTCATAATGATATACTCATTTATAAATTATCTCATTTAATAAAACACCAAAGGGAACTAATTTATAAGGATATAACATAAATAGAGCTTATTATTTGACTCAGATTTGAACTTTGATCAAAGATATAATCATCTGCAATTAATTTATTATAAATAATACTGTACATAGATATTTTATATGAATAGATAGACTCTATTAGAGGTCAGATTTGTTCTTCAAGATGTAGTCATTGACAATTAATTTACTGCTATAAAAATACAAGAAATCACACAGCAGAGACAATGATCAATAAAAAAACATTATTTAATTTAGTTAATATGAGGCGTAGACAAAAGGTTTCTAGCATAACCTAGAATTGAATACATAGTTAGAAACCAGTTTTATTGGAAATTTTAAGTGGTTCTTAATGTGATGAAAAGGAAAACTGAAAAAACAAAAAAATCTCAATTACAGTTTTAC